CATCAAAAACAAAACAACAAATAAGCCATCTTGTAATCCCCTCCCTCTTATCTTTCTTCATCCTCTCACCTTCCTTCTCTCTCCCGCGCTCTCCTGTGTATGTGTTCAGGTGATTTTGTTACTGTATGTGTATACTTAAGCGGTTGACTTGGTCTGATTTGCACTACTGCCGTAGAGGGTAAAGGCTGGCATGTCAGTATTGCAATCTGGCACTACACGTACTGCGACTGATAAAACTGAGCAAAGACATTGAGACTTTTGCTGGGACCTCTATTTGATTTCCCATTAACTCCTGTTTAAAGTTTACCTGGGCATGACAGAACAGTACACACATAATTATCGTGCATTATTTATTGAATGCATTTCTGAAAAATGGAAAATACATACCAGCAGGGTTGGGCAATACAAAATGGAAATGCAAAGTAATGTGGATTTGGATAATGTGTCCAAATATATATAAAAATAATTTTGCCATGTCCCTGCATGTTGATTATTACATCTGTTAAAAAAAACAAACGTGTTTAGATGGTAAGAGAAGGTGGATGAAAAAAAGGTGGATTGTCAGGTCTGACTGTCTAAAACCAAGCCATATCCTAACTGTGTGCTCATCACTTGGTTCTGCCTGTGTAATGTGTTCAGCTCCCATTAACTAAACAGATCCCTCCCCATCAGCACAGAGTATCAATCCACATTAAGTCACACTTGTAGTGCAGAGAGCTCTCCATATTAAGGGTGGGGGTATAAACAATCAGGTGCTCTGTGGGAGGAACTGGCCTCTCTTCAATTTAAGTAAATATCCATCACCATGGATACTGACAGAAGCATTAGTCACCCAGCTGCTCATATATCATCCCACTTCCCTGGATAACATCCCTAAAACAAGTTAGGTGAATTAAGGATAAACTCATGCCTCACCATTTTTTTTTTTTTTTTTTTTACATAAGAACTACACCTTTTATTAAGTGATTTTTGTCTACAAGTGCCGTGGAAAGTGTAAGGAAAATGCAGTTTTATGTGCAAATGCAAAATATCTCAAGACAAGACAACTTAAATTCACTCCACTTCCAGCCTGCAGATCAGACTGGAAAGTATGAGGATGTAGAGGCCAGAATACGTTTCTTCACCCACCTTTCCTCACCATTCTGTTTTAGATTTTGAGGGGAAATGACACTTAATAAATCTCGACTATTGAAAGTATATTGGGATAGTAAATACATCGTACTGCCCAGCCCTACGTACAGAGCCGGTATGTATGATCAAGTATACATTTATTAATCAGTGTTGATCTGTATCAGCATGGATTGGTTCACCTGCTTAAATTGTGCCAAATTGTTGCATGGTGATTTTTCCAAGCACAGTCGGGTTTTCAAAATCAGTTAACTGTGGTGCTGATGGACATCACGACTATGATGAGAGGAGATTAAGACTGAAAACAAAGTTGTACAACCTGCCGTGTGTTGAAGGTTGGCCTTTGCTGAACAATGTGCTTTGATGTGTTTCACAGGCTTAACTGCTGACAGTGATGAGGGGAAAGATGACACTGCATGTCACTCTGTGGTTGAAAGAAAAAAGAAAATAGTCTGGTTTCTCGACCGGGGGAGAGAAAATTATTCAGATCTCTTCAAACGCGCCTTTGTTTTTGTAACTCTTTGAACATGGGTGTTGTAATTATATTTGGCTTACACCCTGCTGTCCCTCCCTTCCTCCCTCCCACCCTCCCTCACCTACACACTGTGGTTTGGTAGAATTCTACAAGGTTTTGAAGGGTAAACTAATGCTTTTACAGATGCATGTTTTTTTTTGTTTTGTTTTTAATAGCTGGTATCTATTAGTGTTTTTAAGCATTTCAATCTTAACTACTATTATCCTTTTCATTCGGACGTTAGTTGTTACTTCTTTCGTTGTTAGTAACGGACATAGACACTATACACTCACTGCTGGGTCAGTTGTACTCCATATTATTATTGTTATTGTTATTATTACAATTTTGTATTTTTGTTTTCCATTAATATCAGTATGGTAACAAACATCTATAGTGGGACAGCCTCCGGACAGGCTCTGTTTAATGATGAGAGCTGCGTTTCTCAAAACCATCTCGGCATGAGAGTCGATCAGCTCATTCCCGCAGCAGAGCCGTGATCGTTCTAGTGTCGGGTTGGCTTTGGGATACGCAGCCCGTTAAGGTTTTCTTAAGATGTTGATCCATCGGTGGTACAGGATGCTACAGCCTTTAGCATGACTAAGCTGAGACACCAAATTGACACAAATGAGTCCACAAGACCTTGTTTTCCACAAAAGCATCTTAGCCTGAGATAATATAAAATGACTGGGTGCCATCTTAAAATCACCACCTCCGCACCAGCCTTCACCCACATTCTTGCCACAGTCCAAAAAGAACTTGGTAGACGAGAAGCTAGTAGGGTGGGAAGCTTTTGGGAAACAAGTTATTGTTTACTGTAAAAGTTAGTGATGATGGCTCTCAAACATTTTTTTGACCTTTACAAAAGTGTCTTAAAATGATCACAATAAGAATTATTTTGTACTACAAAAGAGCAAAAAATAACATCACAAAAACAGCATTTGAGAGAAGCTAGCAAACAACACAACACTTTGTTAGTGGTTGTCTGAATTTATGGTGTGCTGTCAAAACTCTCTCAGCCCTTAGCAGTGGACTTTTTGTGTCCTGACTTGGTGTCCAGACTTATTTTTGTATTTCAGTGCTTTCTTTTCTGAACAACATTGTATTGTTGCTGCAGTTAAGCTAGACTGCTGCAGTCTGAAGAAATGAATTTTACTCCTATGAAAGAGCCTGCGCCAAGGTGGCATACATTCCTCCTATAGGGAACTTTGTACAGGCCTCAAACACACTCTGCAGACACAGTTTCTTGCATCTTTACCAGAACAACAAGGTGTCCACTTTTGCTCTTTTTGGCCACAAATCCATACCACAAGACAAAAGAACAACCAATGGCATAAATTTTTTTTTTAGGACATTCAGAGCGTAGAACTTAGAGAACTGGGGTTGGTGAAAGTTTGGTGTCATTCTGTAGTAAAAATACAGAATCATTTCATGTCTCTGAGTTGAGGTTTATAGGTGACAAGGTTCATATTTGTTTGTTACATCCTTTACAGAGATCTCTACATGGATCGTCAGTGTTCTAGAATGTCCACACATTCCATCCTCAACTATCAGAACAGATGTGACAGAATCCCAAAATTTAAAACCTTAAAACCCAACTGCCAGGGAATTCATTTCTATTACAAATACGTCATCTCCAGTCTCAGTGTGCTTTCTGTGACAGGCTCAGAGTGGTTTGGGTGGTGATTTTTGGCAGGTTTGGGGAGGGAGGGGTGAGCAGAGCTTCAGGAGCTGAGCTTCTGCAAGCACATTCTGTGAGCCACGAGACATTCAGCTGCCACTCTGTCTTTTCACAATGACGCCACCTCCTCCTCCTCCTCCTCCTCAGATTCAGTTGACCTTGATCAAGATTGGATATAGGTAGCAACTTGCTAGAAAATACGAGGGATAAGGGCTTGGTGTCCAGAACGTTTTGTTTTTCTATTATTATTCTTTCTCATTATTTCACTACCACCCTGTAGGTAGGAGGCTCTCTTTCTGCTTCGGCACACACTCCCTACACACTGTAGGAAAATCACTTAATAAAAAAATACTTTTTTATAATAGGTAACTATAAGACCATCATTACGCTGTGCGTAACGAATGTACAGAGAAAAAAATCGTAGGTATTTTTTGAGGAACAATTAATTTGTTAATGATATGTAGCTATTTAATTGTTGTTTTCCCTGTCCTTATATTGTAATCATTGCATTTTCTTTTCTGTGAAAAAAGTTGATCTTTTTTGTTTATAGAGTTTGTCTTGTTAGAGTAAAGGTTCAAGTGCAGGAGCACAGTAAACATATGAAACCACAATAAGCCACTGGTGTGTCGGTGACAATCGCTACTTCCATTGGTCCCCGATGTTCTGCAATCATTTAAATTGTGTTTGATCGCGTGACCTCTGAGACATCTGAACAAAAGTTTGACTTTGTGAGCAAAAGGAGTTTGTCCTTTTAGCAGGCTCTTGATCAGTTAGCATGTTTTGCATCGATGGAACAGAATGATTTTGCCACTAGCCCAGAGCATCTTGTCGGCCATTTCCTTTTAACTATAAAACAATCAACATTAGTAATGGGCTAGCAGGCAGGTAAAATTTCCACCACTGCACGTAAACAATACCAACTGTGGGTTTTGAAAGTCTGACTGCTTTTGGTTTACAGATGGGAACTGAGCTACAAGTAAATCCATCAGTCTATTTGAGAACATTTGTGGAATTGGTTTAACATGAGAACCTCACTGAAATCATAACATTAAAGCCTAGCTGATGAAAATCTGAAAGCATATTTCAGTCATAGTTTGTGCTCAAGCTCATCTGCTTCATTTTCTGTCCGTGAGGCTGAGCTGAGATGAGCAGCAAATGAGCTTTGGGGATGTCACGGTTCCCATCTGTGGAGGCCATTTTGCAACTGTAAACAACATGAAAATTGTGCAGATAAATCAGAGGAGTTGGCCTTTACTCTGACTGTACCACATTTTCCAGGTCCTTTTTGAAGTGGAAGTAGCATGTACTTAGTGGTAGTAGTACTCTGAACTGTAAAAGAAAAAAAAAATGTATCAAGAAAACAGTCAATTTGTGGCTCTGTGTCTCCTACTAAAAAGGTTTTGGCAGGCCACCTTTTTTGTACGTAAAGTAGCCTTGATGAACAATAAAGTGCTTTTAAACCACTGTCTGAGTGTGTGGGCCTCTGTCTTGGAACTATTTTGTGTGTGTTTGTGGCTGTGTAATGGTTAAGACAGATGGTACAAGGGGATGGTTATTTTGGAGAATCAAATAGGTGCAAAGACTCACATGAACCAAATGTATGGAAGGCTGTAGTATTAGGCAAAAAAAACAAATTTAAATACACAATCTGAATTTAAAGCTCACAGATGTAAACAAGGAAACAATAGAGACATTTTATTCCAGTTTTTGTTTAAGTACTTAAAGGAGAGATTTAGGGCACCAGAAACAGCTGAGAAAAGACAGAATTATGAAAACCAAGTCTGAATCCTGAGTTTAATCTCAGATGTGAGGATAAATCTGGAGGCTGGGATTTTATTTTAGAATTCTGCATTTTGCTCACAATTCTGACTTCAGTCTCTATTTGAGTCTGCACTAATCCTCTTCCATAAGTAGCCAAGCAGCTGGTGAAATACATTTCATCACACTGAAAATATTGTACATGTTAGCAGATCAGACACAGGGCACATCGTAAAAAGAAAAAGAAACATAAACTGCACAGATAAGCACATGCATGCGTCTACACACACAAACCATTAAGACCTTCATTTTCTCTGCTGTAACTATGAAATGTGTCTATATCAGAAGCCACAGTTGAGTTGCTGTACAGTAACGTCTGTGCAGGTTTTCTCAGAGTAATACTTTGAAAGGTATTAACTGTACTGTATGTCTCACAGTCGCTAGTAAACAGACAGGGAGATGGATGGATTTGCTGAGTTGTCAACTGTGTTTTTCTATTTTCACAATTCACCTGAAGCACTTTTCCAAACTGAATGAGCGAGCAGATGTAGGATGTCAAATTCCTGCCAAAACAATCTTCAGCAAATCCATTAAATGTGTTGATGGAGAGACTGTAGGGAAGACTTAACCTGTGACCATTCAGTGAAGCTTTTTTAATACAAGTGTGGAGTGTTTTGTTGTGTTTCAGCTCAGGAAACTGAGCTGATACCAAACTGTGAGTAAAGGTGACTGAAAACATCATTACATAATAGGAGCAGGTACCTTCTCCCTTCAAAACAACAGCTTCATACACACAATGCAGAATACAGATTTGATCCCGTTTCTAATGTCACACTGGAAAACAGACATTGACTCAATCAGATTCTATCGCTGTTTATCAACCAAATTGTTACACCTCACTTAAGCTCCAAGCCTTGGGCTGAATTAGAATCCAAATGAAGACTAATAGGAAATTTAAAGCTTTTCAGCAACTTTTCTGAAGCAGCTTTTGTGCTGTACTTGGCTTTGATGATGTGAATTTTGTGATTGTGTCCAGTGTTGTCCACAAAACCCTCGCTGAGCCATTCACTCCCCCTGTCCTTTGTAAATGTAAGATCTATTCAGAAGAAACAGACAGAAACATGGATTGGAGTCTCCTGTCCTTTGGTGGCTCGGGGTTTGTACATCCGGTCCTTCAGATGCTCTCATCATCGCTCATATCCCAAATCTGATGAGACACAAAAATACACAACAGAAAAAAAGATGATGAAATAAAGAATTAACACACAAGTCATTATTATATCTTCAAGACAATGTCTACATGATTTGACAACATACTCTGAACTCCATCCCCTAGTGTTTTTGCAAGCTTCTGCAGTTTTCTCAGTGAGATGTCGTCAAAACTCCACAAAAGACTGGCAGGTGTACCTTTAAGATGCTTTGTTTTTCACCAACCATTGTGTGAGTCCTTGAGGTCTAACAATCATGAGTGAACTTCTTTCCTCACAAAACATCAGCAAAGATTTTCTGAAAATGTTTGAAATATTTCATATCATGCATTGTTTGAAACTTGCTAGATTGCAGCTTCCTGTCAAGGTCAAGAATGAACTTAACAAATCACACTTTATCTCTATTATATGTGGTGTACGCATGTCTAGGTGCAGTAAGCACACTACCCAGAGTCATAAGGTATCATCAAGACAATAACAGCTCTGTTGGGCTGTGGTTATGACATAAAGTAGTGGAGTTGAGGATGCATGTAAACATACGCTGAGTAACCAGAGTTATACAACACAAACCCCAGCACACTGCAATACAGACCAGCACGGATCAATAACAGCTGATTTACATCAAAGTTGGGCTCCATAGAAGCTGCAGATTTAATACATGTCTACAAACAGCCATGAATGTTTGATTTAATTTGAAAAACAGGAAGAGACGGATAAAAAGGACCAACACATATTTCTGTCTAAACAAGTGACTAGTAAGTTACAACAAAACGCACTTTAGAGAACATGCAGGCAGCCTGCAGCGCTCATTTCCTGGCTACATGCACCAATTGTATAATAGCTTTGAAAATAATTACTTACAATCACAGCTAAAAGCTTTTTTACCAGGAAGTGACAGCAGCATGTGATTCACACACACACACACACACACACACACACACACACACACAAGCCTGCTTTGCAATACTGTGTCAGTAAACAACAGTGGCCTTCTCATGGCAGCAGATTCTTCACATTCTCGCTCTGTAAGACGTAATTCACATACTTCTAACAGTGGAATGTTTTACACACACACACACACACACGGTTTTGACACATACATGCAGGATTCCTTTGAATGCGCTGCTTCACCACTCAAGGAGCTGACATGGGAATTCCAGTGCAACAAATACAACCAAAAGCCTCCTGATCTTACATTGTATGATATTAAAAAGGAACTGGTTCAAGTTTTTTTGACACAAGAACATCTGAAGTCATTCGAAAAAAGTCACAAACCATCTAAAAAAACAACCAAAGTTGGGTTGCAATTGAAAATTTTCTTTCATTAGCAATTAACATGCTGATTATTTTCTCAATCAATTGTTTGGTCTATAAAATGTCATGAAACCCTGAGGCCATGCCCTCAAATGTCTTGTTTTGTCAAACTTACAGTCCAAAACCCAAAAATATCCATCTAACAGTGATATAATCAACTCATCAATTATCAAAAAAAGTTGCTGAATACTTTGTTGATCAACTAATCGTAACACTAAACCACACTGATGATTTGACACACATGCACATATTAAAATGAAAATCTAATTAAAGCTTGTAAGGTTGAACTTATAAACACCAAACTGTTTTTGGCAAAACTTTCATTTTTGTAATTTCCCAAATAATTTCCTTAACAAGTTTCCTGGGCAGTGTGCAGAAGCTCAGTTGAACAACCATACAACATGTATGGAGAGCAAAATAAAATAAATAAATTACCCTGACGGATTTGTTAATCACTTTGAACTTCCGTGTCGTGTTTGTGAAGAGAGGCCTTAGTATGAAGAGAAAGCGACTATGATTACACACATCATGATGGAAACTGTTATGTACTGATGGCCCACAGTAAATGACCACAGCAGTGTGAAGGGAACAGAACACGGAGGGGCAGTAATGGCTCTGCCACCTCTGCTCAAAGCACAGCACATGTGCTCAACAGCACACACACCAGGAGCGCCCAGTTATTTATACTGTGGAGCCAGATTTGACAGGTTCATGTGAAACAATCAATGTAATAAATCAATTTAAAATGAACAGCCCAAACCTCACAGCATGTCAGCCTCATTAAAACAATTCTGACAAATGTACAAGGGATTATGCTCAAGTAGGATGCTTTTATCTTGACTGTGGTACCTCCCATGTACACACATCCCATAATTATGTAAATGTATGGATGTATGGGGAGCATGAATGAAGTAACAGTTGGAACTTTAGTGGGCAAAAAAGGAAAGAAATAGCTCAATAATTTGGGAAATTCTGTCTTAAATAGAGATGAGAAGACTGATACCACTCCACGGAGTGTGAAGGTGAAGGTGTCGTATCCCCCCCCCCAAAAAAAAAGTGTCTCTGCAGGATACAAGCTCTATTTTAATCTAATGTGACAGACAATGAGCGAAAGTGATGATGTTGTTACAGCAGCACTGAATATTTCAGTGAAATTCAGTGACTCAGGTTCTTCCATTTTATTTAGGTTTTTTTTTTTGGCCTTCTGAACCTATATCAACAAGGATGCTTTGGGTGTTGTCTTTGTTTTAGCTTTACGTTTGCGTTTGGGTTCTCGTGTGGTCAAAAGTCATCTGTGCCAGTACTTTGGCTTGAGAGGCAATTCGGCAAAAAGCTGTCTAATCTGTTCTGCAGCATGATAACCTGAACAACAGTCTACCAGAGTACAGACTAAAACTGAGAGTTGCTCTGGTGTTACGTCCCTGTAGTCTTCTGGCGGCCTTTTTTCAGAAACTGCGTGTAGTTGGAGAGTTGCAGGGCAGCGTGGAGAATCAGGGACAAATTCATATCAAAGCTGGATGTTCGGCATTTCTGCTCCACTGCTGCTGGGGAGCGAGCATCAAAAGGACAGCAACCAAAGAGCTCTTTGAAATGAAGCGACACTGGAGCCCCTCTCTGGACGGCTGCCATGCCGCACTGATGGCGTGTGTGTGTGTGTTTTGAGAAATCTTTTGTGCGAAATGAAAGGGACAGGGGGGAGAGAAAGGAGAGACCTTATGTAACGTGAATAGCTCCAGCAAACTGAAGCCAACAACTTTACTACAGTCTTTCAAGCACGGCTGAATACTTGGGATGTTTCTCAACCTTTTACCTCTGTTGCTGCAATGCATAAGCAGATTTCTGCAAAGCAGAGATCAAAAATAAATCACTTCTCTGCTCGCTCCAATTAGGCAGCTTACTGAAATCACCAACTTCTTTCATTCAAAGTTAACAAATAACGTGGACCTGAACGTAAACCAATGAAAAACAAGTAATCAAACTGTAAGGCCTAGTTTCTTTTAGAAAGGCTTGAGTAAGTGCTGAATCGAATGGTTGATTCACAGAAAATCAACCATTTAAAATTCCAATGAGAAAATATTTTGCTTTAATACGTTTAGAGTAGCAGAATAGTGTCATAAGTTTTGCTATTGCTACATAGCCAACGTTAGCATTAACAGCTGTTTAACAAACATCGTGAGTTCAGAAACAAAGCTGCTCAGAGCACCTATTATAACCTCAGGTAAAGCAACAAGGGCTGAAGCACATGGCAAGACTGGTAAGTAAACAGCTGTCAATGCTAATGTTGGCTACGTAGCAATAGTAAGACTTATAAATAGCTCCTTTAAGAATGGATATGTCTGCCAGCTAACTAGCTTACCACCTAGTACAGTAGTAAGTACACTTTTACTGGTTAGAGATTATGTTTGAAAAAAGCTACCATATTGGAGTTTATGGGAAAGTTAACAGCTCTGTCCAGGTTTCTACTGGAATTTATTTACACTCCAACAACCCCAGCTAACCGGCATAGCATTATCCCAGCTAGTGTTGTGTTTGTCAGATACATTGGTTTGTTCTCACTCTCAGAGATATTTCTCAATACAATATAGTATAAATCTTACACATTTTTCTTATACTATTATCGTACTTATAAAACTAGGACTAACTAGCTCTACACTGCAGAATAACATGTTGCTCTGAAGCCAGGCTTAGCCAAGTCAATTTAAAGATGTCGTTTCGGGCTCGGGGAAATTTTGATGGGCATTTCTCACTATTTCAAAGATTAAACATATAACCAGAAAAGTAACAATAAAACGAATCATTAGTTGCAGCCCTAGCCTGAATCATATCTCTCCTGAGTGGTTGACCCCACACTACACACACATACACAAACATACATACACACCATGACAGCACCTCAAAGGGATTGGCAGACACACAATCAAACGACACATCTTTAACTTTGAAGCAGCCTTATCGCTTCAGGACCTTCAGCCACTGCAGGTTAAAAAAAAAGAAAAAAAAAAAAAGGGCTCACTGGATGTCTCATAAAGTCCAACAGTAAGCTGCATGTAATCATTGTGTGAATGTGTTTGTGTTTGTAATCAGTTGGGCACTGGCTGATATGACAAGTATAATCCAGGCTAGTTGTTGAAACAAGGCTGGGATCTGATCAGATAGAGGAGGTTTTAGCTGGGAGCCGAGGCTGGTGGAGTCACAGCCAACTCTCTGCTGCTGCTGATTATTGTTCCCCCACAAATACAACACAAGCCTCAGCATGAGAGTCTTTAGCAATATTTACCACTCTGCAGGCCTGTGTCAAAGCGCTGCTTCTGGAAAAGCAACGCCACAACTACAATATATCTGCTGCCCGGCGTGACAGTTTATTAAGAAGCAACTGTTCAGATCAGTCGGATTTCAATGACATTACCAGCATTAGGCACATGGCTCAAGGTTGTTACTCCTTAGGCGAGCTGATACAAAATACTGAGCCTGCTTACAGGAATACATCCTAAGTGCGGGTGGCCCCAGTGGGAATCCACCCTCTGAAGCCATTCAGCTAGGCAGCGCTACACAACCACTGATGGGCTTTGCTGTTAAACACACATCTGCTTTACATATTAGACCTGACACCAAAGCACAAAGCGCAAAGTCAAGCTTTCATCATGGAGACTGGCTCCATCTGACATGCAATTAGTGGACCACACAG